TGCTTTTGAATCATTTGCATGTAATGTAACGTCACCCATTTTTCTATCCTATGTGCTGGTTACACGCTCAAATTTCCATCATTTTCCAGTCAAATGGTGACTGGTGCGCACCATCTACCATCAAATTTCTGCGGCCTGCAAAAATTCGATGGTAGATGATGGAGCTGTGGGGCTCACTCTTAATCTGCTTTCCACAGAACTGTGCTTCCTTATTTCATGCTTATTTCAATCAACACGCTGTTTTAATTAATTTCACTCATCAATCTAGATAACTCCCGACCGCCATCTTGGTCATCATTTTGATCGGAATTTGACGAAAATTTGAGCGTGTAACCAGGCTATTAGGTATAATATCCAATGAAATTCCCTGACATTTTCCTGATTTCCCTGACAATGATTGAAGTTATGTCACATTTTTAAACAGGCATTATTTGAAATAGTTTTTTAGGCGAATTTGTTTTTCGAAACGTCAATCTCACTCAAAAAAGCAAATAGAGATGACTTGACGATTTTTCCCTGACTTTTTCGTCATTTTTACTGACATTTCTAGGTTTTCCCTGACTTTTTAAAGTTCCCTGTCATTTCCCGGTTTTCACGGTATTTTCTGACAGTGGCAGATTATTTCCAGCAGATGAAACCTCGTTTCCTTTTCCTCTGAAAAATTTGCATGCATCGTCACCCATTTTTCTATTCAATAGGATCCGTGAGCCCAAGATGTCTGAGCCAATCAGAAATGGATCCACCAGTGGTCATACGCTCCCTAAAAGGGTACTCTAACGTGCTAGTAAATATTTCCAGATTAGACTACGAGTTGGAAATAGTAACATACAATTTTCGTGGCAAAAAAAATGGCAGCCCTGAACGATGCTTTTATGAAGTGATTCACCTGCCGACCCGCGTGATTAGAGCTCGTTGCAATGAAGAGGTGCGATGAGTAATTTTTTTCTCGTCTGTTCCGACATGATCTAATTGTGTGTGACTATTTCTATTCCTGCGGAGAGACTGGACCATGGCATAATTAAACTCGCTGCATAATTCGGTCCGTTGTTAATCCCTTGAGGTGAACTTGATGTAACTAAATGGTGTGTGCATCATGCAGGGCGTTTTATGACGAGAAATTTAGAGGAAAACTGAATTGGCGCGAAACGTCCCTTACAAGATGACGCGCTAGTCCACATTAGGGTCCCTTTAAGATCACACAATTTTCACCTCAATATAGCGGAAAACACGCGATTTCTAAATCGATGTGAGCATAATATTCATAAACGTCAGTGACTTGAGATGGGCGAAAAGATAACATTTCCTTCAATTTCGCGTGATACCACATACCTACTTCGAAGTTCGAATAGTTGCTCACTTGATTTCCATGTGTAAAAAAAGGAGAAGTTACGCAAAAATCTCAATATCGCGAGAAGTACGCGGTGCTTTAAGTGGATTCCTTAGAGCCTAAGAAATAAGTCACTTGTCATCTCGGTATCGTGGAAAATGCGCGATTTTATAAACGATTTTGTAAAAAATAAAGAGAAATAACGCAAAAATCACCAAAATATCGCGACATATACGTAATGTTTCCAGCGTTGTTCTTGAATCATTAAAAATAGGTAACGCATTATTCATCTTAACATATCGTGGCAATGGCACATTCGCAAATTTTCTAGCGGTTGTTTATGAACTTAAGGGATCACACAAAGAAACGTAAATTTTATATCGACGCGAGCATAATATTCATAAATATTAGTAACTTAAGATGCGTGAAAAGCGAAGATTTTCCTTCAATATCGCGTGATACCACCTATACCTACTTTGGAGTTTGAATAGTTGCTCGTTTGATTTGAATCGTTAAAAAACTCGTTTGATTTTACAAACCAACATATGTAGTATAAGTATTTGATGAATTGGGACAAATATTTGACTGTCGCATGTGCTAAACTCTCCATTTGGTATAAAAAAAATGCTTGACATACTCTTAATTTGGCAGATTTTCCTGATGACATAGAATTATCTGATATTTTCTAGTTTTTACTGAGACTATGGTGTGCTTACCTTTAGCAGAATGCTTTAATTCTTATTTGGTGTAGTGGTCCATTTTAATACATTTATGGACTTTTTCTGGAATTTGAAAATGGGTTTATCCTTGTGTGAATGAACCTCACAAGTCGTCATCAAAGTTTCGACTTAAATTATTATAATTGCATGCAGTACTGATCGTATAAAGTACATGGAAAAAAACTGATTCGGATTTTGCCTGATCGGGAGGTCAACGCGAGCTATAGACACAATGCGCCAAGAATCACGTCACGTCGTCACGTCTGCAGGTCGATTGTTGAATCGTTATCGAATGACCTTGATCGATAAATAGCATTGTAAAGATAGGGATTTATCGATCAAGTCCATTCGATAACGATTCAACAATCGACCCGCTGCGATCGTCTAATCAGAAATGCTAATCGGATTGCGAACAGAGAGAGCTCCTGGTGCGGTCATATTGTCATGTCTTGGCAAGCGACATTGTAAACATGTTCGTCTACACACGTCGATTCGTGACAATCACCTTCAAGTGGACGTAGATCTGCCAAACGGAACTATGTGCATTATAACGTGAGCCATGTTATGATTATAGTCTTATGAGTCTAAGAGCTCATGTCTTAATTCATACAGTTCCGTTTGGCAGAAATATATCCAAATGACAATGACGTAATCTGAACATGCGGTGAAAAGGAAATGACAGGAGACGGAGGTGAAGCTTCGATCGAGAGACAAGAAGACCGCTGTTGCAAAAACGCCGTATGAGCATTCGAATTTTCTTGTATAAAATGTTTATTTTTTAGGTAAATTATGATTACTTCTCCTTGAAATTTTCAGACAATTTAAATCTAATTACGAACAAAATTATCTGAGAAAATGGCAGAAAAAGATTCAAATATTTTCCGGAAAATTAGTGACTTGCCAGAGGCAATTTTGCAATGCCTGAAGGTTCATACGGCGTTCTTCCTTATCACGGCAGAGTTGCATTATACACGGAATTAAAGATTTCGCAAAAAGCTCGTCAATTTTCGGAAAGTTTTGGAAGGAAAAATTTTTGGGAGGAAAAACGTCTTTGAAACTGAATGAGTCAGTTGCGCTAGTTGAAGAATCGTATTTTGATAGTTTAAGAAAAAAAAATGAAAGGTGCCCCTAAAAGTTACCGTTGGTAAACAATTTTCATTGGCATTTGACACTTTAGGGCGGAGTTATGAGCTCATTTAGGGGGAGAAATCCTCAATTTTGATGGGGTGTAGCGTCAAAAAAAAGGGGGTTTCATAAAAAGTTGTAGGAGCAAAACAGTCTTATTTTGATCCTGAAAATCGATTCCTGAAGTCTGGCGCATTGACTCAGGGATACGCTGTAGAATAGCGCAATACATTAAAAATCTGTTCAAACGCTGAGTTTCTACTTTACGGAGATATCAATCGTCAAAAAGCACGGCGAACATGATGTCATCCACCACGGTTCAGCCACATCCACCATACCATGGTTCCTTCCAACTTGGTTTCACACTGAAAAAAAAACTCCGGCCGAGGAAACCGTACTTACCAGCTTATATAGACACACCGTCCGCGTTCCGGGCTCAGAGACCGAATGTTCCGGGCGTAGCACTCGGAGCAATCGAAACTACGGCTCCTGCGGGGCGATTATTGAAACTGATAGACAAAGCGATAGACAAAGATGACATAGGGGGTATAAAGCAAGCCTATTGGTTGAAATGGGTGGTTCTCATCGACTAAGGGGGAAAATGATAGACTAACCGTCTGGTTTCTCGTGGGTTGCCGTTACTTGGTCGATTACCTACCTCCTTTGTCCATTGCAACAACCCGTTTCCACCAATAGGATCCCTCCAAATCCCTTTTGTCGTCTTTGTCTATCGCTTTATCTATCAGTTTCAATAATCGGTCCGCAGCACCCGGAACTTTCGGTCTCGGAGCCCGGAACGGACGGTATATCAATACAGATCGTAACTTTTTTTTCAGTGGCATGAATCAGAGTGATACACATTCTGGTTTTCCCAAGTTTTCCCAAACCCTTGGGACCTGACTAACTTCCGAGAAAATTCACCATACAGCGACGCGGCTCGCGGAGGGCCGGACCCAGGATGACGTCAAAAATGAAACCGTCGCTACTAAAACCCACCACGTAAATTCCTTGATGACCCCTGAAGTCCGCAAGAGCGCCATCGTATCACGGCTCATCACCGCACTCACTCATGACGTTTCAACGGGACCGCGGCTGAAATTAAAAAAATCAATTAAACGCTACGACTGATCTCACCACGGCACCGCACTGCGAGAGCGAGAATTTAGTATCACGTTTCTACTCTTGACCTTGCCTATTCATCGCCGTGCTGAGGAAGAACGCCGTACGAGCCTTCAGAAGTTGCCAAGTTTCCGTCGATAAAAACCGAAATTACTAGGAAATCCTGAATATTTTTTTCCAAAATTTCCAAACTCACTGGAAAAAAAACTTATTGGACATAGAGTTCAGACTCTTAAAAACATCGACGTAAAAAAGTACTCTTTATTCGATCAGATTTAAGCTTAAATCAAGACCAAGCCTCTTAATTTGAGCGGATTTCCTTTTAATTTGAGCTTAAATCTGATTGAATCAAGAGTCCTTTTTCTTGTCAATTATTTCAAGAGTCTGGACTCTAGATCCAATGTGTTTTTTTTCCCAGTGCTATTTTGTACGCAATTTAATCTAAATTATCTGAAAATTAAAAATAAAAATATTCATAAATATCGTCAAAAATACATGTTTTATCGAGGGAAATTTGGCAACTCTCGTATGTTCATACGGCGTTTTTCCTTAGCACGGCAGTGTTCATCGCCGCTTGGTCCGGGATCGCTTTGCCGGGACGTTGTCGTGCGGGTAACGACGTTACGCCGTAACGTATTCGCGTAAAACCACTTATCTCCAATGACAACTCACGGCGGATGAGTCGTTTCTGACGCGAGCGGGATTTTCCTCATGATCCGCCGTTGATGCTATCTTGTTCCTTTTCGGAAAGTCCGGGACTTAGACCTGGTCATCTTCAGTCGAGAATAAATGCCTCGCGTGATCGTGTTCATTTCGTTGTGGCCACGCAGGAGATAGGACTACGAGACAACCTCCGGTATGTGCCAGCATTTTGCGTTATATTCCACAGGATCGCATTCATAGTTGGACAGGGTGTCTAGTTTTTTTTTTCATTTTGGGAAATCCTGGTGAAATCCTGATTATTCCTGATTTTTGACCGCTAAATCCTGATTTCATATTTTTACCAAATCCTGATCAAATTCTAACTTTTTGCGGAGAACAGTTAACGGACGGGTAGCGGATAATTAACGGAAAATAAGCGGACGACCGGCTTTTCTCAAATCCTGATTTTACGACCGATTTTTCTTCAAATCCTGATGAAATCGGGATTAAATCCTGATAGACCTCAAATCCTAAAAGAATCGGGGAAATCGGGAAAATCCTGATGCTAGACACCCTGTACCAAATTTTGCAATTTGAAACTACAATTTTTGGCTCATTTTAGAAATAACATACGTGCTATTAATTGCCCTATGCAAAAAGGTGTTTTTAGGTATGAACCAGAAATTGCAGTTCCTTATTGCAAAATGCAGTCGTTTCTTAAACAGCTCCTTTCCTCAGGGAGCCGTGACCCTAAAATCCGTCCTAAATCTGTGAGATCACATGTGGACCGCGTATAGCAGCGAAGAATCTAGCCACATCAGCTATTGCCAAATTTAACTGGGCAATTTAATTTTTTACAAGAGAACGTAGGTGCGGATTCCTTCGAAAATTTTAGGGAATTTTATTCGTAGTATGTAGAAAATTCATTGAAATTTGCACAAAAATCCGCACAACTGTTTTCGTGTAAATAATTGAATTATTGCCTAATCAAATTTCGCAATAACTGTAGTGGCTTGGTTCCTTTCTGCTCAACGCGGTCCGGTTGGACTACATTTTGAAATTCGGCGCTATAATTTCTAACATATTTTAGAAATAACATACGTACTATTAATAGCCCTATGCAGATAGGTGTTGTATGATCCAGAAATTGTAGTTTCTTATTGCAAAATGCAGTCGTTTCTGAAAGAGCACCTTTCCTCAGGGAGGCGGGGTCCTACATAGATTGGTGATAATTTCTGAGTATCAGTAAGTTCAGAGTATCCGTGAGTAATCAAACCAATTTTCTGTTACAAAAAGACTACTTTCCTTGTTTCTCAGTCCAGAGAAAGGTATGGTCACTTTGCATTTCAGTATTGCAAAATTACGACTTACGAATATACCTTTTTGTCAGAAAACTGTTGTTCATTCCTGACTGAAAATTTTACCGTTTTCCCTTCTAATTACACGCAAAAATTATTCAACTTTTAGACAGAAAAGGCATTTTCATTTTCCTGTGAGTATATGACTTTTAGTATTCAATTTGTGATTTTGGCATGAGGTTACATATTCCTTCGTCTGTGAGACGATTATACGACGATTTATGCAAGGGTTTCTCATTGAAAGAAAAAACGATACATCAACAGAGACTGATAGCTTTCCTCTTCATATTTTCAAAGCAGAGGAATGTTATTTTTCGGGTTACGATTGCCGCGGGCAATTCATTTTTCTGATGGAACCGAGTGTATCAGAGAGGAACCAACACGCATTAAAAGGAAACTGAGAAATAGAGGTTTAAAGTTTTATTCCTCCATAAGACTATATATATATAAAGTCGCTTTATAACGCACTCTGGCGTTCTACGACACCCAAACGCCACATATATATGCCTGTCCTCCATAAGACTCATTTTAGAAAAAAAAAACAAAAAAAAAAACACTTTAGCCCCTCTTTTCACAGACTAATTTTTTTTTGACTTTGAGTTTTTTGCAGGAGAAAATATAGAACTAGTGGAACTCAAAAACATTCTTAACTCAATTTTTTCGTAAATGTGGGTTGGTTTCTTTCTTATAAACTCGGGCCAATTGGTGATCGATGGTTTTCTGCTAGTGTTTGAAAACTAAGAGTATTGACAATATTTCTCTTCCTTCACGGAGAAAAAAACTTCGTGCATGGGACCCGAAGTTTAGGTCATACGGATCTCTGAAGTTTTCGGATTGAGCATCTGAACACTTTAGGTCCAGCTGCTGAGGTTTGGATCACACATCTGAAACTTCAGTTCCTACATCTGAAGTACTACGGTTTTCACATCCGAAAAACTTCGGTTCTCACATCTGAAGTATTTCAGATGTAAGAACTGAAGTTTCAGATGTGTGATACGAACCTCGACAGCTAGACCTAAAGTGTTCAGATTCTCAATCTGAAAACTTCAGAGATCCATATGACCTAAACTGCGAGTCCCACGCACGAGGTTTTTTTCTCCGTGTTCAAGTTGCCAAATACTGTTCGTGCATTTATGGATCATTTTCACAGCTTTTGCCAGACCTCCAAGCCTCTCATTCACTGGACTCCGCAACGAAGGATGTTACCGCTAAGTATGCCGCCTGGAGCTCTCCCGAAAATTTTGACGGTGGCCATCCTCCTGACCCTGGCCGTGGACACGAGTGGCTCGGGCTCCTACACCATCATGAAGGGCGACACCATGTGGAAGATCGCCGAGCGCCTCCGGATCAACCTCAAGGCCCTCATCGCCGCCAACCCGCAGATCCCGAACCCCGACAAGATCTGGCCCGGACAGAAGATCAACATCCCGGACCCGGGACAGCCGGTCCCTGGCCCCGCACCCACCGGCCCCGGAGGCTACCCCACCGGGAGGGGCAACGAAGTCGGAGGGGCGCCAATCCAGTTCCCTAATGCCTACCCGGCCGCCCCTCCTAGTCCGGGGGCTCCTCGCTACGGTGGGGGCGCCCCTCCTGCAGGACAGCCCAATTATGGTGCTCCTCAAGGTCCTGCTCCGGGAGCCCCCAATTATGGAGGGGGCGCCCCTCACAGTCCTGCCCCAGGGGCTCCCAATTATGGTGCACCTCAAGGTCCTGCCCCAGGAGCCCCCAATTATGGAGAAGGCGCCCCGCACAGTCCTGCCCCAGGGGCTCCCAATTATGGTGCCCCTCAAGGTCCTGCCCCGGGAGCCCCCAATTATGGAGGGGGCGCTCCTCACAGTCCTGCCCCAGGGGCTCCCAATTATGGTGCCCCTCAAAGTCCTGCCCCAGGAGCCCCCAATTACGGAGGGGGCGCCCCTCAGCAGTTCCCTGCTCCCAGCTACGGCGGTGGCTTCCCCCAACAAGGTCCGAGTGCAGGAGCCCCTAATTACGGAGGTGGTGCTCCTCCAAAAGGCCCCAGCCCAGGAGCCACCCCTTACGGAGGTGGGGCCCCCCAACAAGGCCCCAGACCAGCGGCCCCTGGCTACGGCGCGGGGCCCCCAAAACAGCCCTCTTGGCCGAGTTCTGGTGGGGCTCCGCCACCCCCATCCTGCCCTCCCTGTTCCTGTGCTGCGCCGTACTCTGTTGGTGGTGGGTACTCAAAAGGTTAGAAACATATAATTTTGGACGCGTCCAAATTCGGAGAAATTGTGATTTTATAATATTTTCAACCTTAAAATTACTACTTGTGATAGTTGAATACTCAGATAATATTTTTAGGAATTATTGATGCATAAATGATTAGAGAGAGAAAAATAAATAGATTATGTAATGAATGTTTAGCGTATGTAAAAGACTTCTCTTTCCCACCAATATACTATTTAAACATTCAAATTGACAGCTATGTGCCTATTTTGTACCCATTATAGAATTGTATCCTTCCATGGCATCAAAGAAAATTTTTCAATTGTATCAAGAAGTGCAATGGATACTTAGAAATCAACTGGCTGCCTACAATTAATTTTTCCAATTGCTCTCTATCAATAAAATATTTTAAATGTCTCAGCGTGTTTAAATTTGTGTTTTTCCACCACAACGTTCAATTCATTTTTCGATCGTCAAATCACTGGTAAGACGTCTAAGAATTAATTAAATATGAGACAAAAGTGAGGATAGTAAATTGAAACCGAAATTACAGTACGTATTCAAATATTTAAAAAATCTACGTTGAGGCATGTAACTATTAAAATCACTTGAGATGGTTTTCTTTTTTCCTGAAAATTTTTAATTTATCTAATGAAATGTGGCAACGTCTGAAAGCTCATACAATCGTCTTCCTCAGAATGGTGGTTTCTGCACCGCGCACGACAGAAACTGCAGTGCCGACAACGCCACCTGCCACCGCGCACGAACCCCCGCGCGAAACGAGAGGGGTCGTAGAAAAATAAAGGGGGGTCGTGGAAAAATAAAGGCCGGTAATTAAAGCGATAAAATTAAAACGAAATTAGAAAACGTAAAAAATTAAAAGCTATAGGAATCCTCGAGGAGAAAGGATGGATAAAAAAAACACGTCTTCACGAGCGCGAATACAAAAAAGACAAAATGATGAATGAGTCAATTACGGAGTGGGGAAACACTCCGCAAAAATGCCCCCCCCTTTTCATTGTGTAGGGGGACACCGCACGACAACTGGAATTGCGAAATAAGGAAGCGGATCGGCATCGCATCGTTGCCGAGACATAAAAAAACTTAAAGTTCATTTTTCATAGAATCGATTATTCTTCCTGAGTTTACTCGCTGAAAATAGGAGTCATTGGTGTCGCGAAATTTTCAGCAGTCGGTCAGAATCGGAGGCGGAATACTGCCGTGCTAAGGATGAACGCCGTAAGAGCCTTCAGACGTTGCCATATTTCCTTTAATAAAAAACGAAGTTACTGATGAAACTTTTCATCATTTTTGTGCAAAATTGTCCGACAATTTTAATTAATTTCATCAGATATATCTGAAAATTTTGAGAAAAAATAAACATAACGTTTCTCAAAAGTACTTGTTATATTCGGAGACATTTGGCAACTCTCGGATGTTCATACGGCGTTTTTCCTTAGCACGGCAGAATAGAAACCAGGAATATCCTAACTGAGTTTCAAGTTGTCGAATTTTTGTCACATTTTTCATTTTCGTGACAGAAATCGAAAGAGCATAAAATGGCTTGAGCCATTGTAAGGACTTTCTATATATTTTACAGAATATACTCACAAGAGCTGTGAAAGAATTAGACTACGTCCGATGTAGTTAAACGTAAATCCGCCCAGTTATGAAATTTTCCGAACTATGTATTAAAGGGACGAATTTGCATTTTGAAAAAAACTCATTTAAAAAATTACAACTATCCAGTAACGATCATCGATTACTTTCCTTTTAAGGGTGTAAACTTAGCATTATTAGACGAAGTAATTACAATGAAATTTTTTAATACTTGATTTACTCTGGCAGGGCAGTTTACTCACTCATTTAGATGCAAAGGTCCCGTGGGAGCTCACTCAACATCAAAGGAGAGAAACACCAACCTGTGAACATTGCGAGAAAATAATAACGTGTTAAAAAACTTGCCATTTAATTACATTGAGAAGAAAATGTTAGCATCGAGAATGGTTAAAGTCCGAGGAAAAATTACACAGACAATGAGGAAAATATTCATTTTGAATATGCCACAAGAATTAATATAGCATCAACCGGAACTCTCTTGAAAGCGATTAGACATACCTCTGAAATAACAGGGATACTGTTGGAAGTAAGGAGATTTCCTTCTTCTTCAACGCAAAATTCCCATTAATCCAACAGGAAACGTTTCTTGGTGTTTCGAACTCTTCAGTGCGAGTCCATTGACCAAAAGATCTGAATCACAAATTTTTACGATCCTGTACCCGGAAATGTCTTTTACTGTAACATATCATTACTGGTCCCGGCTGCGGTAGTAATGGTCTACATGTCAAACACGGAAAATGTGTGATCACATTTATTTTATTTTGTATATTTAGTATTACATCATTATCTCCGCCCCATTCAAATTACTCCGCAATGTAATGAGACGCGTTGCAAGTTAACACTTCCATGCTAGGTAACATTTTATTTTCATTGAACACAAAACTGCCGTGAAAGCGAAGAGAGTAGTAAGAGCAAAAACGGTCCTTTTTGCTCTTACTGCTGTTTTCTCAAAACTTTGAAGTTTTGAGAAAACGGGCTCAGAAGCCTCTGATCGGTAAATTTTATTGAATGAAGCCTCCATTCTGTATCAAATCATCACTAATCGTCCGATTTTATTTTAATTACATAAAAATGGTATTTTTCATGTTCATGCTAGGTTATTGTTGGGCAAGACAGCCGCAAGTGCTATCTTCTGCATGCTTTCGTGGTTGCGTTTTGGACACACAACAAACACATTCCCAGGTTAGACATATTGGCAGATCAGGGCGCTTTACTTGAAAGCACTGTTTCCATTGGCTCTCTGGAGGAGTTACGTCACTTACTGCTGTCTTGCCTGAAACTACGTCATCTTTTGCGCACTTACAGCGCTCGTTTTGATACAACTAAGATTAATTTCGCTGTTTCAGCAATTTCAATGATCTCATCTAAAAGAGTTCAGACGAATTTTGAACTTGAAACGTGAAAACGTCACTTACTGCTGTCTTGCCTGAAGCTACGTCATTTTTTGCGCATCTACGGCTACGGATCCGCCTATGATTTCCGGTTTGCGCCAACTGCGCGACCTTGAAATACCCGCGAAAATATTGATAGTGTGACCGTGGCTTTGAATTTTTACCCACAGCCCCCTCTAACCTAACCCGACAACCCTGTCCTTCCGCCGTAATCCCTTCGCGAGGACTTTTTTCTCTCACCCCCACCCCATCTCCCCGACACAACTACCTGCAGGTCTTTTGTCATGCGGAAGGGTACACGGAGGTAGTCACTCTAACGAAGAGATACAATTAATTTCTTTCCCCTTTCCGCCATTGTTTATCCGGCTCGCGGGACCATTGCGGTGCCCCGTCGCGGGGCGGGGGCGAGGGGGGGGGGTTATCCCTGTCCCTCTCCAATTTTCGACGACAATGACGACAATCAACACGCTCGTCGCCGCGACGCGACGCGACACGGCGCACAGTGGACCGAGAAAATAGGAGAAATCGGACAAAATCTGGAAACTTTGAAAGTTTAGAGGATTAAAAGTCAAATTTTGAAATTTTTGTAAAACTTTTTCTTACCGATTTTTGATCGATAAAAAAAAATCGGGTTTCGGTTGGAAAAATCGGTAAGAAAAAGTTTTATAAAAATTTCAAAATTTGATAAAGTATGGCCGCTAAAGTTAACAACAGAAGTGAAGATTAAAAGTAGTTCCATTGGATTTTTTGTGAAATTTCTTTGCAGAAACACAGAGAAAAAACGGATTGCTGATGCGACGATTCCATTGTTAAAAAAATGACTGCCAAGTTTCAAATGTACATTTTACAATAGTGGAAAGCTAATTTAACGACAAGGTTTGTCAAAGAAGCATCTTGTTTTGTTAAAGTAGCATTTTTTTAAGGTTGAATTAGAATTTTTTTTTGTTGTAAAATCTACACTGAAACATTGCAGTCACTTCTTTCAACTACAAAATTGTTAAATCAGCAATTTAATTTTTTCTGCGCACCCTTTGAAATCGAAGGAATTGCAATTTCACTTTAATTCTTTTATTTTTATTTGTTTATTCATTAATTTTTTTTCACAGTACTTGAACAAATTTCAGACGTTCTGAGCAAATTCCCAGACTTTTCCACGTTTTCCAGGCCATTTTCCCCCCCTGACTTTTCCAGGTTTTCTAGATCGCTGGGAACCCTGAAATTGAATTTGTGACGAAATAAACGTAAAAATTTGAAACTTTCTATTGGTTCTCTCTGTTGGATCTCCTCTATTGGTTCTCTTTTATTTTTATTTGTTTAAGTATTTATTACTTTTTTTCTTAGTACTTGAAAAAATTCCAGACTTTTAGAGCAAATTCTCTGACTTTTCCCGGTTTTTCAGGCCATTTTTCCCCTGACTTTTCCAGGTTTTCCAGATCGCTGGGAACCCTGAAATTGAATTTGTGAAGAAATAAACGTAAAAATTTGAAAATTTCAATTGGTTCTCTTCTATTGGTTCTCTCTGTTGGAGCTCTTCTATTGGTTCGATCCACCGTGCGACGCGCGTCCGACTTAATTTTATTAGAGGCCACCGAGACGCGAGACGCTCGCCCGCTCCTCCAAGACAAAGCGTCGCGACGCCCAGTCAGCCGGCGAATAAATCTTCGCCGACCCGCGCGGCGGCAGGTCGACAAATTGGATTACCGCCCGCCCCCGCCCCCCACGCCGCCCCCGCCCGCGATTTAAAAACCATCACGGAAACATTATGTAAATGCCGCGTCGGCGCGCACTTTTTCGGCCCGCGCTGCGGGAAAACCCCTGTCGTCGGGTTGCGTACCCTCCCGGGGGCTCCGATAAGGATCCACTTGACTTTTCTAACGTTCTGAGGAGGGACACCTTATGAACAGTTCTACCGTGATAGCGAGGAGAGCAGTAAGTGTCAAATTTTCGAAATCGAGTTTCCTTCAAAATTCGTCTAAACTCTTTTAGATGAATTCACTGAAATTTCTAAAACAGCAAAATTCATCTTAATTGTATAAAAAGGAGACACGTGAGAAAACCGTAAGTGCGCAAAAAACGACAAAGTTTTAAGCAAGACAGCAGTAAGTGACAATATTCCTCCTGAGAGCCAATGAAAACAGTGCTTCCAAATAAAGTGCCACCCTCTTCTGCCAATATCAAACCTGAGAATGTGTTTGTTGTGTGTCCAAAACGCAATCACGAAAGCATGCAGAGGATAGCATTTACGGCTGTCTTGCCTAACAATAACCTAGCATGAAAATGAATAATACCCCTTGTATGTAATTGAAATAAAATCAGTCGATTTTTCATCATTCAAACGATTTCTAAGAGTCTTTCCGACGATTTTGAGGCAATTTGACAAAGAACAGAGGCTTCTTTCAGTAAAGT